ATGTGTCATCCTGAACCGAATGTAGTGCTCCCTTTAAGTATATGGCAAACCCTAGCGCCCTCCATTGGGTATATGACAAGACACCCCATCCTCCAACATAACGAGATATGATTAAAGAGTGGAGGACAACAGATTCTAAAACAAGTGAAACAGAATGTATGGAGATACGTTTTGGTCTGAAAGTGATCTTAATCTATAAATACCTGTTATCATTTTATTTAGATGCCATATTTACAAACGGCTTATCAAAAAAAAGGTGATTTTGGGTTTTTGGTTCTATAAATAATTTTTATATATATATATTATTTAAACTGAAAAAAAATATTATAAAGGATTATTACAAATGTACTCAATTTAAGAATTTACTGAAACGCCCCTTGAAACCTCCTCGGGGGGATTTGGAGACCACTGCTCTACACATTTAAGACTTTAGAAAAAGAGATCTGTTAGCAAAGTCTCAAATCAGAGAAAGGGCACACTTTACTGTGTAACATAAAAGAAGCTTCTTTATCATTTGTGTTAGTGACATAAATACATTGTGCCTGTTTGCAGCATAGCTAGAAAATTTTCACCTTTCAGCCAACACAATCAACTTCTTTAGGTATTTGTTATCCCGGTTAACTTTTCCGGTTGGCTTTATGAAACATTGGTAGCATCATATGTGTAGCGATTTCATCATCCCCTCATCCTCAGGTGTTGTCACTAGGTGACCTTGCTAAGGCAGCACGTGCTGACTGCTCAACTTCAAAGGAAGGCTGGTGCAGAGTGTGGGCATTCCCTGAAGGAGGCTTCCATAAATGCAGAGCTGATACACTGTACTCTAGTACTGGGTTCATCCAAGCAATAGTCATGTTCTGCACATGTTTGCTTGACCTCACATCCATAAATTGTGCCTCAACCTATTACTAGCTGTGCCCTTTAGGGATTCACAGGACACAGTCTGTAGACCCAAAACTCTGATCACCTGCACAAATGGGTATCTCATTTCTTTAGCATGTAACACAACAGAAACAATTTTCTGAACGTCAAACTTCTTTTTCTTTGTTCACCGACCGTAAGCTCCAGCACAAAGTCCTGGTTGTTCGTCTATTTGGACTTTGGCTTTGTGCCGGGGCCTGAGTTTTGCCTGTATATCTGTTTTACTGGCTTATTTGTGTGCAGTTGGTAGTTCCTTGCTGCTTGGGCAGATGCACTCCGACCTCGAAGGAAGTCCTCCCCAGTTAGTCGACATGTTAGTTGGGCAGGCAGTGGGTGGGGGTCTAATCTTGTTTTCTCCAGAATGGGGCCCCAGAACCCACATGGGAAAAAGTCAAACTGACTGCAACTGAGTGATAAGCTAAACTTTGTGATAAATATTTATAGAAGCAGATTGCATGACAGGTAAAATAAAGCACAGATACCTTCTTTGAGGAACCAAAAAAAGTTATTATGTTACAGTGAGGCAGTCCTCCTCAAGACAAGCTGAAAACCACAAACTGATTAGAAAATTAGACTAATATATATTGACTGTTGTTTCAGCCATCCATTGTCATTACCAGAAATCAAGGGAAAAAAACAAGGAATTGTGGAGAGAACTAACAGTAAACTCTGACAAGACCCCATCAGCAGACTCAATAGAAAGCAACATCAACAATTTTCCATCTATGAACAGGACACTGCAAGCTCAACCACAGCTGGTGGGAAAACACTTGGATGGATGGGAACATGTTTTAGATGCACACCAGCTACAATGACTCCAGATATATAAATCAGACCAGTGACGATGATCGTAATAAATTAGAACTAGTGTGAAGGTAAAATTAATCAAGTAAAGGTCCCTTTTCCCACGCCTTTAGGCGAACTGTAAATATAGAGCTAGACATATTTTTATTGACAAACAAGCACTTGATGGGTGATGTGGTCAGCATCACATCCCACTCCCCTTTACTTTCCAAGACTGCACTTGGTACCCACTCAAGGCTAGGTTGACATGGGAGTCAAAGTAATTTTTTTCAGGACACAAACCCACGACCTTCCGTTCCACAGGCAGAGTTCTAGCCACCAAGGCCGCGGCAACTCCCAGTGTAAAGGTAGCAGACTCATAATCTACAATCACTCCAAACTTATAAATCAGAACTAGTTTGTAAGTAGCAAGAACACTACAATTACTCTCAACATATATATCAGAAATCTTGTGCAGATAGTAATCTCACTTGCTGCTACCAAGACTCAAAACACATAATATAAAATAGAACCAACCTATAAATTAGAACCCACTGTGTAGGTAGCAATCATCAGAACATTAAAATTACAGGAACTCATGTTGAAATACTGTTTGGGATATGCAGGGGTGCATGGAAATGAAAGAGCGGATTTATTGGCTACTAAGCAATAGCTACGGGAACACTCATAATGGACAAAGGAGACAACCTTGAGAGTTATGCTGATAGAAGACACAAGGTTAGATGAAACAACATGTGTAAGACGGTGTCAACAAGAAATTAAATGTGATCAGGTAAGGGGGGTCGTACGAGAGGATTTGTAATCAGTAATCAGGTAACAAACTCACCAGCTGGTTTGACATCAAACATGTAAACCAAATTGTGACTCCACAAACAAAATTCAGATCAAACTTTTCTTGTGACCTGATCTTCAAACAAACAGAGTTTAAAACCATCTTTGCCTTGCTCTTAGACTATCTCGTACTCATTCTAGACTAAAAATTACTTTATCGTTAAAATGTTTTTTAACCATTTAACCCCCTCCCCCCCCCACCTCCCCACACACACACTCAAACACACCCACTTACTCCCACTCACTCATTCGCTCGCTCGCATGCACACGCATACACACACAAAAGCTGACAAATGATTATGAACAAAATAACAACACAAGAATTGGAAGTTAAAAAAACATTTATTACATTTATTACAAATTAAAAACACACAGAAGTTAATTACAGCCTACATACTGAGAAGACAACAGAAAAATGAACATTTCACAAGTTATGAACTTGGTCTACATGATCATTTTTGTATCAGGTGAAAAAAAATATATAAATTTGTATTTACCACCATCATCGTTACATTTCACAGTTTAACACATAGCCGATAAAGTTACTCTCTATTAATTAAGGTATTTTCAGATGTCTCTATAGAATTAGTATATATTATCAGCATTTATCTGACATTTTCTTTTACAATTCTGATTTCTCTTAATTCTTTCCAGTTTAGTTCCTTACAAATTTCTGTCGAACTAATTTATGCTTACTTTGCTTACTGGCTCTTCAAATCCAGGTCGACTTCCTCAATTTAACTTTTACTTTTAACTAATCGTCAGTCTGTTTTTTTGTTTGTTTTTTTGTTGTTTTTTTTAAACTTTTTTTTAAAGAAAAACATCTCCTTTCCATCTTGTTCTTCTGTATGCCTGATTCAAGCTCAAAGCATATTTCCTTGTTTATGTTTGTCCTTTCTGATCCTTTTCTCTTCAATGTTGCTCTCGCATAAGGTTACTGCTAAATTATGGCTTCACCCACTTCTCTAAAGAAGATTTAACAAACAAAACACAGCGTGTAATAGCATATCAGATCTTCAGGTAAGTTAGGTATTTTCCCCCAACCACAGCTAGGTTGCGGCGTCCGTGGCTTAGGCGTTGAGAGTCCGACTCGTAATTGCAACGTACCGCGATCGAAACCCACTGCTGGCTGCTTGGATTTTTATCATGGTATGGGGCGTCGCAGGTCGACCCAGCCTAAAACAGGTACCAGGATGTATGTCCTGGGGAATTAAAGACGGCCGGTGTAATGTTGACCATATAACCCACCTAGCGCTGATTTGTCTGTAAAAATATGGGTGCTCTTCCCATAAGCTAGGTTACTATTAGAATTCTCAGATAAAGCAGCAGACTAGAAAGAGATTTGATTTGATTTGATTCATGAACCGACATCACAGCACGCGGGGCATTCCCATAAGCGCTCCGTCCCCATCTTCAGCAGGCAGCGAAGAGTTTCGATGCTAATGGTGCCAGTAGCATTCTGATTAAACGTCCGTCTTACCTTTCATCTGAGCCTCGATAGAGATATAGAGATAGAAGCCAGAGTACAGAAGGCAAATATTGTCACCTACCAGTTAGCCCCACTGCCTAGACACCAAAATGTCTCCCTCCCAACAAAACAGCAAATGATTAACTGTATCTTTATTCCCACTTTATGTTATCAGTGCCAAACATGGACAAGGAATAGGGCACTAGAACAGAAAATAACTACATGTGAAATGGCTGTCTCTGCAAGGTCACTAACAACATGAGAAGAGACAGGGTTACAAATACCAGTATTAGAGAGAAAGTTGGAATAAGACCATGTCTAGATTATAAGGAAAGCAAAGAATGAAATGGTTTGGCCATCTAGTGAGAATGCAGCCAGACCACAGCCATCTAGTGAGAATACAGCCAGGTCAAACTGCATATGAGACTTATTACAGCAGAATATCTGGGAGGAAGGTGAGAGGAAGACCAAGAAAGAGATGGATACATAGTGTAGCCGAAACCTGCAAAAAAACATGAACAAATCCATCACCAAAGCCACCCGAGAAGCGTAAGGCAAATACAGAAAACCACGACACTGGGCTACAACCTGGTCTCAGTGAGATGACATAAGAAGAAGAAGATATAAAGCAGCAGTAACAGAGATGTAACCAAGCTGACCAGAATTGACTTTCATCTTAAGGTTTCTTGTGGGCGTCCTTGCCTCCCTAATCCCTTCATTTCCCATTTTAATGCCTGTTTGGTGGTTCTCTGCCAGTTTCTTATCAGGATGTGTCCAATGCAGCGCCATCTTCTCTGTCTTATCACTGTTGATACTAATGGTTGCCCAGACATTTCTCTTATTTTCTTCACTCCTCTTTTGAATTCAACCCATTTTACTTTCATAATTTTCCTCAGAAATTTGTTTCAATATTAAATATATCAATATAATAAAACCATCTTGAAGTTTTATAATTGATAGTTAGCTGCAGGTGAAATTTTCATTCCAATACAATTTGGGCTTTTGTACCATCAGCATTTTTGTGTTCGGTTCCATGATAAAGATCATATTCTCTCCTCAGATAAGCAAACAGTATGTCTGTGACTAGAAAAATCTGTGGGGAAAAACCAATTCATAAATTATGAAGAATGTGATTTTTTTTGGTTTAAATCAATAAATTTATGTTTTCGTGAAATGATATGAAAAACGTATTCTTGGCATCTTTCAGCCTTTCCAGATGATTTTGTTACACTGTACTATAAGAATCACAGACCATCACGAAGGTAACTAGAAAGACCAGCCTGTGTTTAGAAAAGTATCCCCTAAGCAAGTGCATGGGATTTCTTCTTCTTCTTCTTCTTCTTCTTCTTCATTTTCACTGGCTGTAAACTCGGGCAGAAAGTTCTGGTTGTCCCCCCCACTTCTAAACTTCGCTCACCTTCCAGAACATGAGTTCTGCATGCACTGCCGTTTCACAGATGATCTGGTTTATTTGTACGCAGATTGCTAGTTCTTTGCCTCTCGGGCAGAAGCCCTCTGACTTCGAAAGAACTTCCTAATTAGTCGACTCTTATGACATGCTTGCTAGGTAGGCAATGAGACTATTCTTTTGCCCACAATGGGTCCCCAGAACCAACATGAGGAGACAACTGCTGACATTACACGTTTTTGCTTGTTTATTCTCAAAGGCTAAATTCCTAACCTATCTGCAATCATTTTCTCTTTGATCCTTGTTCATTTCCTCTATTTAGTCCCTCTATGCAACATGAACCACTGCATCCTGTTCCTCTGAATCCATCAATACCTGTATCATTCATGTTCCAAGAACACACATCTTTATTTCGCAGCAGAGGCTAGTCCCAATATCTTCTTCACATCTATAATTCACCACTGAAAAGTTTCTCACGGACTCTACCATTCTCTAAGTGTGTCCTAGCCATTTGATCCTTCCTACATGTGTATACATGTATATATGGAAAGTATGTGACAGGCAGGTAGAATGGTAGAGTCTTCACTGCAATCGTTTAGTCCTTGAAAACTGCAGCAGATGTCCGGAAAAAAAGGGTTTTTTTATTAATATCCTACCCCAGATGACGTCACAGGACAGTCCAACATTTTAGAGGGTGGTAAGACTAAGTTTCCAGGCTTTCTAATGCTTTTAATAACCCCAAAACATCTTTAACTGGCCCTAACCCCAACCCATCTACGTCTCACGAGAGAGTGCAGCCTAGGTCCCTCGACTGCATGCAGCCTAGGTCCCTCGACTGCATGCAGCCTATCTACCACCCCCTGAAATATTAGACTGTCCCGTGACCTATGGATTTCCCCTGTTTGGGGTAAGATATTAATAAAGCACCAAAAAAGCCAAAATGAATAAAACAAGTTTCTTCTTCTTCTTGTGTTCACTTTCTGATTTACACCAACTGACAAATTCTTGTGACAAACTTGACTGTTTCTAGGAGTTCCCTTTTAGTTCCATTCAACTTTGAGTATTGACTCAGTGGGCCAGTATTTCCTTCTTAAAAGGCAAAAGGAAGCAAGTTTCAAAGAGGCTACCCATGCTCTGCCGCATGTTCAGACATCTAGCCAGATTTATTTAGTATGTCCTGATCAAACATAATAGAAATAACAACAAAGTAAACTTGCTTGCTGACAATGAACACAGACAATAACTGATCACAGATGGTACATTAGTTAGGAGAGAACTAGTTAATTTCCACTTTCTCTCATTCTTGCAGTATGTGTGTGGGAGACAGGGGGAGAGATAAAAAAAGAGACGGGCAGAGAGGGTGGAGAGAAGAACGATAGAAAGATACAGAGGAAGGTAGAGACATACCTGTGCTGTTGAGTAAGTCAGAGTTATAGCAAAATAAAAGTTTGCATTTGCACTGCCAGCAAAGATCCACAGATGGTAGAGGATGGGAGCTAGGACCATGCAGGTAATGAACATCCCCGCCACCACCAAGGTGTTGCGTAAATCTGAAACAACAGCATTCATATTTTTTTCCCTTCAACCTTCTAAAATGAAAGAAACAGACCATTATATTTAGACTGAGTACTAGATACAACATATATATAACCAATTGGAGCAGCCAGACAGGTAAACCATGCGGGAGCCACCCGTCATTACATCAACATGAACAGAATGAGAGTTGTTAGCCTAAAAACACTTGGAGACATACTCAGGAGGAAATGGGAGCACTTTTGGTCATTTCTGATGTGCGATGAAGATGATCTTTTAAATGAACAATGGACACAAGAGACTCTGCAGCCATGGGTACAAGAAATTCAATATTGGGGTTCCAGAGCTTTGTCCGTGTGGACAGGCACCAAAGAATGCTGAACATGTGCTAAGTCAGGATCTCTGCATGCAGTAGAAAAACCCCAGGTTTGATCAATAGAACCCAAGCTGTATGGAATAGTGGAAGACAGGCTTCAGAGGCCTTCCCATCTGAAACCCACTGGCAGGGAGAACGAAAAGTCTGGTTTGTTGTCATTACCTGATGACTCACCAGGACATTATTCCCTCCCACATGTAAAATACACATAACCAAACAGACATGGCTAACGAGCAGCAAATAGGCACAACCAAACAGACATGGTTAACGAGCAGCAAATAGGCACAACCAAACAGACATGGTTAATGAGCAGCAAATAGGCACAACCAAACAGACATGGTTAATGAGCAGCAAATAGGCACAACCAAACAGACATGGTTAATGAGCAGCAAATAGGCACAACCAAACAGACATGGTTAATGAGCAGCAAATAGGCACAACCAAACAGACATGGTTAATGAGCAGCAAATAGGCACAACCAAACTGACATGGTTAATGAGCAGCAAATAGGCACAACCAAACAGACATGGCTAACGAGCAGCAAATAGGCACAACCCAACAGACATGGTTAATGAGGCAGCTGTTGTTAGTTACCACTAATGTCTAAGGTATTCACAATATATATCTCAGAAACCACATCCCATACAGATATTCCTTCAAACACTGATAGCAAACCATTTCTTTTGTTGGTAGGACGTACTCAAGCTTTTCCCTTCACAGGACCCGCCAAAATAATATTGCCTCCCTATGACAAATGTTATCCCATCAAAATAAGATTGCCTTCCTATGAAAAAAGTTATCTGACCAAAATAATATTGCCTCCCTATGATAAAAGTTATCCCGCCAAAATAATCCCTATGACAAATGTTATCCCACCAGAATAATATTGCCTTCCCATGACAAATATTATCCCACCAAAATAATACTGCCTTCCCATGACAAAAGTTATCCTACCAAAATAATATTGCCTCCTTATGGGAAAAGTCATCCCGTCAATATAATACTGCCTATCTATAACAAAAGTTATCCCGCAAAAATAATATTGCCTCCCTATGACAAAGGTTCAGTTCAGTTCATCAGTTTCCACTTCTGTTGTTAAGCGTTGTGGGAAGGAACAGTTTGCAATCCATTGCAATGGCTACTGTCATACCATGTCGATGAAGATTCTCTTTAATGTCATCAATCCATGTTCTCCTAAGATGGCCTCTTGCTTTCACTTCCGATCCTTTTATGTATGATAAAAGTTATCCCACCAAAATATATTGCCTTCCTATGACAAGTTATTCCGCCAAAATAATATTGCTTCCCTATGACAAAAGTTATCCCGCCAAAACAATTTTGCCTCCCTATGACAAAAGTTATCAGTTTTTTTGTGTGAGCTAACTTCTTTCAAGACAAATTCATTATACCCCATGTGGGTTCTGGGGTCTTATAATGGAGGGGACAAGAAGAGACCCAGTGCCTCCCTTATAAGCAAGTTGTACTAATCAGGGGTGTTTCCTTCAGAGTGTATCTGCCTGACAGGCAAGTAATCAAAAGTCTGCATACATATAAGCCAGATCTGTAAAATGGATATGCACGCAAAACTCAACTCTGGAACAAGACAAATTCAGAAGTGGATGAAGAACCATAGCTTTCTGCTGGAGTTTACAGCGGGTGAACATAAATAAAGAAGAAGACATTCAGGTATGATACATTTATGTCACCTTAAACAAAGGGAACCCTGGAATCCCCAGTCCAGTCTACTTATATAGGAGTGTTATGTGTTGGGTTGTTGTCAGCGTTTATTACTCATCATTCGAAGAATTATTTTTTTTGGGGGAGGGGGGGGGGGGTTGTGGGATCATTCTCAGTGTGTGAGTTTTGGTGTGTGGCCCGTTTGGAAGCTGCGCTTGCTCTTACTTCATGACTTCGCCATGAATGTCCCTGACCTATCAGCATTCGTGCATGAGAGGCAGAGCAGTGTTGCTTTTCTGCAGCAGCATGGCATCTCATATTCATCCAGACGCTGCTCCAAGAATCATCTTGTGGTGCTGTCGCTGACTGACAGTCAGGATCGTGGCCAGCCAGCAGTGCAGTCAGTAAGTCGTATTCATGACGACATCTTCAGATCTATTTACTGTGCAATACTATATAAATGTCAAATCACTGGCAACCAAGCAATATACACATGGAGACTTCGGCCCATCCTTTTCCCCAGTTGGTCCTTACCCCCCCCCCCCCCCCCCCCAATTCTAATCCCCATATGCAACTGCACACAGAGTTCGTTCACAACACACACATAAAAAAACATTGCAGCACAGTTGTTCCCACAAAGACAGTTGCACAGCAGTTTGTTGAAACAAATTTTGCATGCAACTGTTTTTCTACCCGGTGCACATGCACTTTTCCACATATTTGTGAACACCAAAGTCATGTCACAACACCCCTAGAAAAGTGGTCAGGGGATTCCGAGGTTTCCTTTGTTTGGGTGACATAAAACTATTGTACCTAAATTCACTTTGCTGTCGTGTTTTTTTTTTTAATATATACAAAAATCTGTTATAGTATTCTCAACATGCGTCTAGAAAACCAGATTTCCTCAGTGGCCAAATAATTTTTCATTAATCTGCTGACTATCCATGATGCACTTCTGCACATCAGTATTGGTCCCAGATCGCTCTTAAGAGCTCCCTTTCTATTTGTAGCAATCCTGACACATCAAGAATTATATATATATATATATATATATATATATATATATATATATATATAAGAATACTTACAAGAAAACGTGTGCTTCCACAAGGGCAGCAAGCTAAAGTAGAGGGCAGCATCAGCGTAACTGGGATATGACTTAAATATGGCAGTCAGTACCAAGAGAATATACATGAGGAACACTGGCTTCTCTCTGTGGACAAAAGTGTCAACAGAAGTGTCAGTCGTAGGCAGAATCAACATCGTTATCATCATCCCTCTGCACTGTTATATGCCACATAGAGCTCCCAGTTTAGGGACTTCCATTCCGTTTTATCATGTACAATGGTTTCAATTTTATGGATGGAATTCTGGCCAGCATCTATGGCCTACCTCATCATCTTTCATCTTTGGGATTTTTTAACCCTCTTGGCCCAGGAACACTTGAAAAAAAAAAAGTCATGAATTCCAGAAGAAAATCCTTTAAAAAAAACAAAAACAATTTTACAAAGGCCACTAATAAATTTGTTAAGAATTTATAAACCTACAAATTTTAATTTGTGTGTGTGAAATATATAAAGATATATAAATGAAGTAATTTTGATAGGAAATAGATTAAATAATTATCTCTTCTGTTTGCAAAAGCCGTAGTTTGGAATATGTTATTAAACATGGAAAATGAGAAAACATACACACAACAAAGAAACACAAAATCCCACACATAACATAAATACAGACAAACTCACGTAAACTTGACTGCAAGTGGTACTGTATACACAACCGCATTCAACTGGAACACACAGACAAAGAAAGTCCGGAAGTGATCAAACATCTCAGTAAAGAAGTACCAGAAAACTCCAGTGTTGGGAGTCAGGTCCGGGACACTCAGTCTGAAAAAGAAAACGTTGAAATGAATCTGTTAAGACCAAAAATGAACACATGACATCTCAATAAGCTTATGACAAAGGAAAACATCCTGAGAATAGACAGCTCAAGAAAACTAAAAGGTGGGGACAAACAGAATATCGCAATAGCAAAAGTTTGCATGTGAAGTGTTAATATATCTTAAGACACAATAATCATATTCCAAATCACTTTAAATATTTCCAAAGATAGATTACACAATATAATTTTCATAACTATTTTGAAAGCAGACTTGAATACAGATAATGTATACTCCTCCAAATTGTTACAATTAATACATAATTTGTTCAAATTTAAATAATCAAAAGCAATGCTGAAAATATATATATATATATATATATATATATATATATATATATATATATATATATATATATATATATATATATATATAAAGATGTCACAATTATAACCCAGCTGGGATAACAGGATATTATTTAAATTACTATTACTACCAAAAATCATATAAAGTGCTTTGCCAAAATGTGCAGACAGTCCATTTATGGATCTCACATGATCACCAGGATCTCAGATCAGGTCTGTGTTCTTATTCTGCTTATGCCATATGGTATCCAGGTATTCATTGCTTATGTATTTACTGTCTGTGCCTACGGCATTAAAGTATTTATCTACTTGCTTTCCACTATCCCTTTCTCATAAAATTTGCTGCTTACCACCAAGTTTTCAAGTTTATTTCTTCTCATAACAAGCCAATAAAATCTTAACTGAAAAAATGTACTTTTTTCTCTCTAAAAAGTGTCCAGTTTTCATGTTTTTTGTGTGTGTGTGTGGGTTGTTGCAAGGACTGCAAAATTTTCATTTCTGGTCCTTTGTGGTATTCTTTGCATATCAAATCAGTTTTGTGTGAATCTTTCTAGAAAGTAGTTTGCCACTGCTTTCTTTCCCTAGAGGGATCACAACTGGCTGGCAGCCACAAGTATTGTCACTATAGTGTGATCCTGTGCCTACTGTTGCAAGCTTGAGACCATGATTAACAAGCAGAAGTCAGCTGCTCTCAGGCTCCATCCAGCAAAATGCTACCACACTTGTAATGGCAGCAGTATCTTCTTCTCTTTGTCCGAGTGATGGAATTGCGTTATTTACAGCAAAGCTGCAATATTTGTGCCTTTCGGCCGACACATCCAACTTCTTCAAGCAACTTTTGACCAGGTTAGCTTACCAGGTAAGAGTATAAAAAGCCCCCCCCCCCTCTCCCCTCCCCCAAATAAACCCTGAAAAAATGAATAACCGGGAAGGATAACCCGGTCAACAAATGCTAGCAGAAGTTAGATGTGTCAGCTGAAAGGCGCAAATATCACGGCCATGCTGTAAACACGCACCAATCTATTACATCTTCAGATGAAAAAAGGAGAATAAAAAGGAAAATGAATGTTCCTGTAAGTAAAAAACAGTAAAGGTCCCTTTTCCCATGCCTGTAGGCATATAGGGCTACACCTTCATTTTTATAGACCCATCAGCACAAAATGGGTGAGTTGGTCAGCATCATGCTGGCTGTCTTTACTATCCGGGACCGCACCCGGTACCCACTCAAGGCTGGGTCAACCTGGGAGTCAAGGTCATTTTTGAAGGAAAAAAAAAAAAAAAAAAGTCCTGGCCCGCCAGGGAGCAAACTCATGACCTTCCAATCCGCATGCAAGCGTCTTAGCAGCTATGCCACGGCGTTTAATGTTCCTGTAGCTATCACTTTTGTAGCAGGGCTACAAGGCTGAGGTACAACAACCCCCTTGTCCTAGTCTTTAATCTAGGACTTTTATTTCGACTCTAATATGCAAAATCCTTAACTTTACCAAGGAAGTGAACACATTTTCACTGATGCACACAGTAGGCATCCAAACTTCTCAAGCACTTACTATGGATTAAGAGCTGCTTCCATCAGCACTTTGCTAATGCAGTTTCCACATATGGATGAGTCTACAGTTTTGTTGCCTGAGCTTATCTTCTTCTTCTTCTTCGCGTTCACCAGCTGTACACTCTGGCGGAAAATTCTGGTTGCTCGTCCAATACTGAACTGCAGTCCTGCTCCAGAACCTGAGTGTTGCGTGTGCATCAGTTTTACAGATCTCATTCTCTTGAATACAGACTGTTGGTTCCTTGCCTTTTTCGCAGATGCACTCCAACTTCAAAGGAAGCTCCCCAATTAGTCGACTCCTACGACATGCTTTTGGGGAGGCAGTGGGTCTATTCTTGTTTTTCCCGCAATGGGGCCCCGGAACCCACACGGGGGGTCTGAGCTTATGAGTTTAGTGCTTGGTGCAGCCCTGTGAGTTGTGGTAGAATGCCTTTCGGTTGTGCAGTGGTTGTGTCGTGGTATTCAGTATGGCCGGTAGCCAGTTTACTTGTGAGCTGGTGATACCTCATGTAATAATTCTACGTGTGTAGAGCCAACTTATCATGCCCGACTACTTCCCTTACTGACAAACTGCATTTCTAGTGTCGACTGTTGGTTTTGACATCTCTGGCAACTGCCATATGCATCTACTGTGTGCGCATATTTCTAGAATGTGCCATGACAGATTGATTGTTCATCAGTTTTTCAAATGGGACAGAGAGGGACATTTCATTTGATTTTCACTGGCACAGGAATGGAGCAAGTAGGAGAAAACCCTATTGCAGTGAAGTTGTAACCTTGACTAAGACTAAAAACTGAGTTTACACAATCTGAAAAATTGCATATTCAACAACAACATTTCCAGACAAAAATCTTACATGAATCCATAAGTGGACTGAAGAAACTCCCATGAGCCCTCTGCTAAAAATGAAGCCCCAAGTAGAAGACCAAGAAAAACAAAACACAAGCTGCAGGTTTCAAAATAGCTGGTGACAGCTTCCCTGCTGACATAGGATTTTGTCGAGGACTGTGGCCGCTTGTTCTGAAACAAACAACAGCTTTTCATTTGAATCAGGTAAATGTAATCATTATTAAAAGATGTTAAGAAAACATTTGTTAACAAACATTCAGTCCCAGAAGATTTTGCAGCAGATGTCTAAAAGGGACAATAACCACATTTAAAAAAAGCAGGAATTTTTACTTACAAAGTGGCAACATTTAGAATGCTACATATTCAAAGACATGCCAGATTTTGTTAGTAAGCTCAGTCCAAATGAAAAATATATTATAGCAGACAATACACTGCTTGATTCACGCAGGCTTTTGCAGCTCACACATTGTGTGTTGACTGGGACAGAAAGAGTTAACACAAGGGCCTGCTGATCACTTGCCAGGGGGCCCCATGAGCAAAGCGGATCCAAGCTAATCTGTGTATGTCAAGTAACTTGCCATAAATCTTCTTCTTTTTGTTGACCGCTTGTCAACTCAGCGGAAATTTCTGGTTGTTCGTCCACCTCTGGGCTTTAGGTTTGTTCCAGTACCTGAGTGTTGCGTGCACATCCGACTTATTTGTATGCAGGCTGTTGGTTCCTTGCCTCTCAGTCAGATGCACTCCAAATTCGAAGGAAGTCAACTCTTCTAACATGATTGTTGGGGAGGTAGTGGGTCTATTCTTCTTTTCCTCACAATGGGGGCCTGGAACTCACAAGGGGATTGCCAGAAATAAACAATTTCATCCAATGAGTGACCGTTGTAAGGGCCCTAGCAGACTGTTTGCCCAGGGGCCAATAATGCTGTTAAGACAGCTCTGGTAACATTAACCCACAATGCAGATATAGCTACAGCAATAAAAGGGTGGAAATTCTGGTTGTTCATCCACTTCCGGACTTTAGTCTTGCTCCAGAATTTGAGTCGTCATACACATCCATTTGACAGATCAGGCTTACTTGTGTGCAGACTGTTGGTTCCTTACCTCTCAGGCAGATCCACTTTGATCTCAAAGGAAATAATCCTAATAAGTTGCTATTTATGATATGATTGTTGTGGGCAGCGGGTATATCTGTCTTTCTCCTCTCAGATTTGGCCCAGGAACACACCCAGGGATGCATTAGTAAATAAAAACAAAAACTGAACAAACCTTGTAGAACTGAAGCCCAGCAGGAACAAGAAACACGACTGGATAAAATGCCTGGTAGGTGGCCAGGGATATAAACAAGGTACACAGCAGTCGGTTGCCTACGTCACAAGAAAACCCCAAAAAACAGAACTGATTAAGTAAAGAAACAATAAACATACCAAAAAAAAACTAACTGTTTTTTATGTCAAAATAAAGCATAAACACAAAGCAATAATTCAGTGAAGAAATAACATGATGAGACTTTAAATGAAAACCTTAACAGTGTGGAAGAAATTACAAATAACCATGCCATTGTCTTGTAACCTGTCAGTATTGTTGTTAAGAATGTCAAGAGTGTTAAGTATGTGACATCAAGGTGCAGACGGACACTGTGACATCACAATGACAGTTTAAAGTAGCAGCCCCACTTTTGACATGCACCATAGAGAAGCAGTATTTGGTTTTTTTTTTTTTAACCAGTTAAGGGGGGAAACCTACAGAAATGTATCAGCGAATGACAGTCTAGTATAGTGACTGCATGCCTGTCAGTCCAGCAAGTTTATGCTGGAGTAGGAAGTCTTAAAACAGTGTGACTTTTGTGACAAACTGTTCACCTGTGTGATCTGGTCTGCAATAATCTGTGCATTTTACCATTTTTCATTTATCTGTGTGTTGTGTAGAATTACAAAGGTCAGATTTTTAAGAGCATGCATCTTTCCCATTGCAACATACGCCTGTGAGACCTGGACACTTACTAAACATGCGGAACAGCGCATAAATGCATTTGAATACAAATGTTACAGACAGGTTCTAAGAATATCTTGGGTAAAGAAAAGAACAAATGCATCCATACTTCAAGAGCTGAATATTGAAGAGGGTTGGCTAGTAAAGACAATAAAACAAAGAAAATTGAAATATTTTGGTCACTTGAAACGTCATGGAAGTCTAGAGAGAACAATAATGGAGGGGTACATGCCTGGGAAGAGAGGAAGAGGAAGGCCAAGGAGAAGATGGGTGCAGGATGTGGCAGATGATCTCCAGATGGGTGTATCAGACGCAGGACATCTTGCTCAGGATAGGAAGGTTTTCCGGAGGGTTGTTATGGCAGCGAGGTTCCGCGAAGGACATGCTACTGAATGAATGAATGTGTGTTGTGTGTGTGTGCCTAATGGTTCAACTGAAATTCCTGCCACTCTTTTTGATTTACAGTATTTTACTGTTTTATCAATCAAACAATCTTCTTATTCTTTGCGTTTAGTTTTGTTTGCTCAGATCAGACCCTCAGGTGGGTTGCCTCTATGAACTCGCATGTCAGCAGCAGGTCCTTCACGGTTCTCCATAGCTTGTTCTGCACACTTTGCTCTTGAGGCCAGGTGTCTTTTCCGAAGTTGTAGGTAGAGTGGGCAGGTCTGCAGAACTCATCTTTGCACCTCAAATGATAAAGATGTTTTCCACATAATATTCTTCATTATGTTAAATGCTCATCCTTCTTGTGCTAATCTACATTTAATTTCTTAAAATACCTTCCATTTGCTGTTTTCAGAGGATCTGGTGATGCAACAAGAGAGATTTTATTAATAAATTAGTTGCATATCCTTTACACAACATCACAGACCAACCCCAGCATTTGTTGGCTGCCTTTTTATTTTACAAGGCCAGTTTATGTTCAGTAGTTTGCTATTTTTTTCTGAGCAGGTGACGCTCAATACTATTGTCAAAATTATTGCAAAGCAGTCCTAGCCAATACATGCTTTTTAGGAGGGGAAGTCTAATCATATTACAAAGTTATTAACGGCATTCTCCCCGTGTAGGTTCCAGGGCTCCTTTTAGGGATTGGGCGGGGGGGGGGGGGGGGGTTAGACTTCTCATCCTAATAAGCATGTCATAAAAGGCGACCTATTAGTGGTGTTTTATCTGCCTGAGAGGTGAGACCCCCAACAATTTGCATAAAAATAAGCCAAGATCTGTAAAATGATGTACAGTAAAAACTAAAGTTCTGGAACAAGTGCAGAAGTGGATAAACAACCAGAACCTTCCACCGCAGTTTACCGTCGATGATCATTTAGAAGAAGAAGACAAAGAAGAGGAAGAGGAGAAGAAGGAGGAGGGAAAAAAAGAATAATAATAAGAAGATGAACAACAACAATAACAACTCGACAGTTTATAAATATAATAACTGCTACACACCTGCTATCAGGTAATAGAAAGCCAAGAGAATGGCTAGGTTGGTTATGGCCCCTGTGGACAACGCTAACGTTGTCATTATGCTGAATGGATTCAAAGCATGTCTGAAATTTTAAGAAACACAATCCCATTTAAAAATTTACAAAACTGTACTTTCTTCATGTTGTTGGTGACACATAAGGTTCAGTAGCTATTCTGCTGCTTTCCTGCCTCTGGTATCCCACGCATATTTAAAAGAATCGTGTAGGAAATCTTACCTCAACTGTCGATTCCATCTATTGTCAACACTGCTCAAGAACCTTCCTAACCGAAGTCGTCCCCATGTGGGATGCATTCTTTGTTATCTGAAGCCCCACCCTGGCTTTTGCCGGGGGCCCTGAATATAGCCGTGGCATAGATATGACCTAGCCATAGATATGACCTAACAGCTGAAAGGGGTTTCGGGACCTCTCCACAGGTGATCCTCATCCACATGGTGGCACTTTGTGTCACCGAGTGTTTATCACTTGTGTGATGTCCTGGTGAATACAACTACCAACCAAGAACCTTCCGGGCTCCAGTTGGATTCATCAGCCATTTTTGTACAATCACTGATCATTATCAAGTTTGGATGCAAAGTGGTTTTCATCATTTATGATGGAAGAACAACACCCCATGTCATTTTATATATTGGTATTGCCCTTTCTACTGACCATCACGTTAACTTAAATCGTCCACTCCACTTCCTTCCATTAGCTGTCAGTCAGACAGCTGTCAGTGCCAAAGGGTCACGAGGTATTCTCCAAATAGGTAAAAACCATTTACATCTGTTGTCTTTGATAACATTTATCAGTAGATAAGTTATACAGCACCATGACACCACAATAGCGTTAAACACCCGGTGACACAAAGTGCCACCATGTGGATGAGGATCACCCATGGAGAGGTCTTGGAAACCTTGTTCAGCCATTAGGCCATATTTATGACCTGGCTATATGTAGGACCTCCAGGCAAAAGCCGAGGTGGGGCTTCAAAATAACAAAAAAATTGCATCCCACAAGTGGACGACTTGTATCTTAATATTTGCCAGTGATTGACATTTTCTTTTCCTCCACAGTTATTTGTTCGTGATCTTGTTAGGAAAATTTACAGATAGATACAAATAAACATGATGTAAAGAAAGCAACAGTACATAATTTTTACCCCCAAAAAATCTCATCTGAAATGAAAGTTTGAAATACTGACGCCATAATGGGTTCCGAGGCCCCATTGTAGGGAAAAAAATAGATCCACTGCCACCTAACAGGCATGTCAAAACTGTCGGCTATTTAGGGATGTTTTCTTTGAAGTCGGAGCACATCTGCCATGGAGGCAGAACAAGACGCACAAACACACAACTACATGTGTTTGAGCTTTGTTTTTTAAACAATAATGCTGCACTATGTTTCTAAACAGACTGACTGACAAACATGAATGGTTCTTGTAATAACTGCCTAGTATGTACAATAATGTTTAAGAAAATGTATATACATCAACAAGCTAAGAAATAATATAACAAGCTACAAACACACTTACACAGCAAGAACAGCACAAGCTCGGATACAAACTTACACATACAAGCACAACACAAGCTCAGATACAAACTTACACATACAAGCACAACACAAGCTCAGATACAAACTTACACATACAAGCACAACACAAGATCAGATACAAACTTAAACATACAAGCACAACACAAGCTCAGATACAAACTTACATAACAAGAACAAAACAAGATCAGATATAAACTTGCACAGCAAGAACAACACAAGCTCAGATACAAACTTACACTGCAAGAACAACTCAAGCTATTTTACAAACTTACACAGCAAATACAACACAAGCTCAGATACAAATTTACATAGTAAAAACAACATAAGCTACTTTACAAACTTACACAGCAAGAAAAACACAAGCTTAGATACAAAGTTACACAGCAAAAACAAAACAAGCTACTTTACAAACTTATATAGCAAGAACAAGATCAAATACAAACTTACACTGCAAGAATAACGCTTGGCAGCCATGACAACTGTTTTGGGGTCAGTAACAAGGACTCTGCCTTTGGTGAGTATGTTTCCTTGTTCACATTTTGGTCATCAAGCTGGATATCAAAAGTATGAAGCAAAATAATCACTTGTTTGATTAACTAGTTTTGCTGGGATTGTAAACATTCCTTGTTTGAGTTCTAAGACCCCATTTTGACAGGGAACAAGAATATACAAGGGCAACAAGTTTCTACTTTACTACTACTTCCTATTTCACTACTACTTCCTGTTTCACTACTACTTCCTACTTCACTACTACTTTCTACTTCACTACTACTTCCTACAACACTTCTACTTCCTACTTCACTACTACTTTCTACTTCCTACTACACTACTACTTCACTACTACTTCCTACTTCACTACTACTTCCTACTTCACTACTACTTCCTACTTCACTACTACTTTCTACTTCACTACTACTTCCTACTACACTACTACTTCTTACTTCACTACTACTTCCTACTTCACTACTACTTTCTACTTCACTACTACTTCCTACTACACTACTACTTCCTACTTCACTACTACTTCCTACTACACTACTACTTCCAACTTCACTACTACTTTCTACTTCACTACTACTTCCTACTTCGTGAGTTTTCACCAGGGATCCAGATGAGCATCATTTATTTAATAAATAACAGTCCAATGTAGTCATTTTATAGTTAGTGTATATTTTTGTATGTGTGCTGTGTTGTCTTAGTTTTCTGATGAAGGCTAATTGTCACAATGTCCTTTGTTCACTGTAATTGGTTTTGTAAAGCTGATATAAACTATTTGTTTTTTTTCTTACCCCTTTTTCTTCTCTTTCCTATAATTTCCTACAATTTTTTAAACTACTTCACTCTTACACTTTCTGGCTGACAGCACTATACTGGACCTTTACCAGTTAATGAAGTATACCCAGGTCATGCCGGCATGGTGGGTAATGAACAGGCAGACAGATTGGCTGGATCTGCACCACTGGGTGGTGAATTGATACCTCATAAGGCAGATGTGATCAAGACACTTTGGGAACAAGCAATGGAATCAGTAGAGAAACAAGATTATTATGGCCTGGAGAGAATGAGGCACCTGGGGGTAACCAGAGGGTCTGACCAGCTCACTACACTCAGAGGAAAGGCAAGACGGACATTTAATTAGATTGTGACCGGAACCATCAGTACTGGAGCTCTGCACTGGCCGCTGAAGATGAGCAGGGAGCACACATGGGAATGCCACGAGTACTGTGATGTCAATTCTTGACTCAACTCAACTACCCGCCAATGAATTTCTATAGTTTCACCCCTTCACTGGTCAAAAATCAGATAACAGAAAGCTGCTCCTCTTTAGTGCATGCCAAAAGTAGGGCAGCCATATTTAAATGGTCATTATGATGTCACCGTATTCACAAGCATCATGCCTATCACTGTTGACATCCTTAACAACAATACTGACAAGTCAGAAGACAATGGCATAGTTATTGTTATTTCTATCACACTTTTAAGGTTTTCATTTAAAGCCCCCATGTACCCAAGCATGTCCTGAAGGGTGAATAATTAAGGGTTTGCTGACAGCATATGCTGCTGGGCCGACAGGTACTGATATCGCATCCTAACTGTAAACTACACCATAATATGCCAACTGTCCTTTTCTCAGTGAATGCAGAAGACTGTAAACTTTGGCACCTTTCCATCTTTTAAGAGGATGCTGTTCCATTTTGCTATAGGGATAAATGGGAATCACAGACCATGGTGATACCAATTAAGAACAGGGATGAAGTTTTTCAAGATCAGAAGAGCAATATTTTGTCAGACCTTCACTACTAGACCAGCTGACGAGCAAGGTTAAGAGCTTTGTATGCATTGCCATAACACAAAGTTTTATTTTTCATTACTTCTTTCTCATTGGTAGTCATGTCTATCAACAACCTTCTGTACTTTCAATCAGTTCTACACAGATGATCCTCCATGCCCAATGTCAAACTGTTCAGCATCCTCTCTCGGTCTCCCTCTGCCTCTTTTTCCCCTCTACTTTCCCACCGTCATGATGTACTCCAGTGTTCTTCTTCTCATAACACGACCAGAGACTGCAGATTGTTTCCCTCTCATGTGGGCAATCAGTTCTCTTTGTGGGTCACTTCTGTCATCTTCATTACTCTCATAATCTGTACAGGGTGTTGGTATCATTCATCTATCATTTTTCACAAATTGGCCAACTGTTCATGATTCACTTCCATATATCAGGATAGGATTATACAGTTCCTGAGAATTCTCTTTCTCACCTAAATTGACAAAGAAAGTTAGCAAAGAATATCCTTCATTTTGTGAAATGCTGTCTTTGCTTGAGGTATCCTACCTTTATACATCCATCTGCTGTTATCAGGGTACCCAAGAACTTAACAGTTTCTACGTGAACACATCCACCTGCAAGAGGATTGTCCCATTTACTTTGACGCTGCATTTTGAAGCGTCCATTTTCTTTGTAATTACCATAACTTCTGTTTTTCTGCCATTCAAACTAAGACTCTTGTTTAGACTTTTATTTTAATTATGTCCATCATTTCTAGCACCTGTGTTTCATTTTCAGGGATCAAAATTATATTGTTTGAATTACAGAATGAGTTAAATGAATTATTTAGAGAGTACCAAAAAAGTTAAGTAACATGACACACAAACAAAAGTTAAGTAACATGACACACAAACAAGTACTGAAAAGCAATTACAGGAGAAACAGAAAAGAAGTATTACATTGCAAAAATCGTCTTACCAAGTGCTCTCTAAATGTTACTGCTACTTTGCGCAGAAACACCATGGTAATGATGTCAATCAGCTGGAGCAGGAAAACAGCAAAGAAATCATCAATCACCAAATAGTTCAATTAAAAAATTTTAAAAACTGCAGTTTTGTCAAATATTGTGCATGATTTTGAGAGGGCATCTTCTTCTTTGTCTCTTGCATTCACCCTCAAAAGGGCAGTTGTGTTAACAGCTAGGCTGTGGTATTTGTGCGTTTTGGCCCAACATATCTGATTTTCTTCTTCTTCTTCTTTGTGTTCACCAGCTGTACACTCTGGCGTAAAGTTCTGGTTGTTCGTCCACTTCTGGACTGCAGTCATGCTCCAGAACCTGAGTGTTGCATGTGCATCAGTTTTACAGATCTGATTCAATTGAATGCAGACTGCTGGTTCCTTGCCTCTCAGGCAGATGCACTCCGACTTCAAAGGAAGCTCCCCAGTTAGTCGACTCTTACGACATGCTTTTGGGGAGGCAGTGGGTCTATTCTTGTTTTCCCCACAATAGGGCCCCGGAACCCACACGGGGGTCTGATTTAAGCAAAACCCTTAAAAGCTGAATTAGTATCCTCTGTTGTCATGCTTCTAATGATGCAATGAGTCCAGCCTCACCCACTTTTTACTTGCTGTTCTTGTAGTCAGGTCAAGGTTGTAGATTCACAGTCACCTGGTTTTCGCAAACATTTTACTTTTCAAAGAGCATTCAGTATATCAGCATGACCCATTCCTCATCTGCCCTCCACATTAGCCTTACCTGCAAGCCTATCAGCTTGTTCATTTATTTGTATACCTGCATGCACTAGCATGAAATGCAACTCATGTTTGCCAGCTGCGACCATCTCACATACTCCAACTACTGTCTTCAGGCACAGCCCATATCTATATAACACTATACAACAATGTACTGATATTAAAGCTTCCAGCAATAAAAACCAGAGTGAATAGAAAGGAGGAAGTATGCAAAATGCAATAATAACTTTAAGAAAAATGAGAAAGAAGTTTCTAAAACTGACTTCTTCTTTTTCTTCTTCTTATCCATTTAGTCTTAAAAGGGTGGTTGGCACATTGCACTGTGGTTTACAGCAAGGTTGTGACATCTGCCCGGTTAACTCTAACACATCCGGTTTCAACAAACATCACCACTTACAACATACTGGTTGGTGGGAGTGGGGGGCAATGCATCTAATCTCTTCACCCTTCCCCCATTCCTTTCAAATTGGGGCACAGGAACCCACAGGATGAGTCTAGAGGAAACAAATGTGGTGATTTACCCTTGCCTTCCATTTTCTTATGAGAGATTAACATAAACAAACACATCAGCACATGAAAAATAGCATAACAACCTCACCTTGGATATGAAAATCCACTTACCAAAAAGAACCCACTGACACCCCACGGACAATAGTTAGCAATCTTCAGTCCTCTCAAGGCTAATGGGGTCTGTATACACAAACAAAAATGACAAAGAACACAATATTCAGGCCACGGATACAGTTATCCAGTTTAAAATAGGTACAAGAAAAGGTCATGGGAAGTATAAGGGGCCTGCACAAGGCTGGCTATATCATCCATCCAGTATCGACTGGTCTACACAAAACAGGGGCCAAGCAACATGCGCCTGATGAGCAAAGGCTACTTTAAATATTTACAGGTTTAAAGACATGAGAACTGACTTCTTTATTTCACTAGGTTTGATCTTAAATGAATCATTCCTGGGCTATGGAGTTAGCTCTCAAGGGCTGTAAACTCTAATAGAAAGTTCTGGATATTCATCCACCTCCTGTCTTTAGTCTTGTTCTAGAACCTAAGTGTTGTGTGCACATCCATTTTACACATCTGACTTATCTGTATGCAGACTGTAGGTTCCCAGCCTCTCAGGCAGATGCACTGCAACTTTGAAGGAAGCCCTCAGTTAGTTGACTCTTACTACATGCTTGTTGGGGCCCCAGAATCCACATGGGGAGTCCAGAGGATTGAATTCATTACACTAGATTTGATCTTATACAACTTATTCCTGTGCTTTGGAGTTATCTTAGCGTTTATGGGCTGTAAACTCTGATGGAAAGTTCTGGTTGTTTGTCTACTTCCGAACTTTGGTCTTGTTCTAGACCTTAACTTTTGCATGCATATTTTTGTGTCTGACTTAGTCGTCTGCAGACTGCTGGCTCCTCGCCTCTCAGTGGAGACACACTACGACTTCAAAGGAAATGCCCTTAATTAATAGGCTTTTACAACATGCTTTTTGGGGGACAGTGGGTCTATCCCCCTCCAAACTTATTTCTTTGATACTTACTTACTTACTTAGTTGCTCCTCTTCTACCTTGGGGTGTAGAGATTTGCCAGAGAGATCGCCAAATGTCTCTATCAGTTTTCTTTCTGGCTTTGTTCCATTCCAGTCCTCTGTCACTTAGGGACTGTGGGATGTTGCCTTCCCAGTGGACCTTGCATCATCCTAGAGATCTGATTGCCTGGTTCTTAGCCTCCCATTCTGCATACGTGGGGGCCGTGTTAGCACAGTCGATAGGAGACTCACTTTTAAATCCAGCTGCGACTCGCTGCAGCCCACGGCCGGTGTTCGAAACCAAGCGGTTCCAGAGGTTCACCCAGTCTCTAGGAAATGGGTACCAGCATTAACACTCTGGGGTAAATGGAGAAACGTCGCTGTAGCTACGGAGTTGCATGCGGACAGTGATACAGGCAGACAGCTTCTTATCAGCTGTCCGTACTGGTGTCAGAGCACTTATGGTTTATAACCGTGTGCAAAGACGCTGGTTCACATTTCCCGACTTTACCTTTACACATGTCCAAACCATCATAATTGTGACTGATTTACTTGGGTTTGAAAGAACCGGGTATCGAATATTTATCTGATACTTCATTATACTTATACTAAAGAAATAGAAAAAAAATAACCTTTATACAAAATTATGACTCTAAATATTAAAAATCCATCTTTTTTATTGACATGGGGGCTGCGATAAAGCAACAGCTAGCTGGCTTGCCTGTCAGCTCGATGTTCATAGACATGAACCTTCTGGATGTTTAAAAGAATTTCTAAGACTGCAAATTTCTTTTTCTTCTCTTCCTCTAGTTTCTTCAGGCAAGAGTTTCAGAATTAAAACGATGCATGTCTGTCAGTTTCAGAGACTCATAACGATGCATTTCTTTCAGTTTCAGAGACTCATAACGATGCATTTCTTTCAGTTTCAGAGACTTATAACGATGCATTTCTTTCAATTTCAGAGACTCATAACGATGCATTTCTTTCAGTTTCAGAGACTCATAACGATGCATTTCTTTTAATTTCAGAGACTTATAAGGATGCATTTCTTTTTAACGTAATTTTGAAAAAAGTTTTTTAACCAGACTTGAATGGAATAAAAGGGTTAGAGCAGTGTTTCCAAATGTTATGTCCCCCGCCCCACAGAGGGCAATCTGAATGTTGGGGGGGGGGGGAGGGGGGGGGGTGGGGGGATTTAAGAATGAATTTGTCCAGAGTTGAAGTTAACCATAAGGTGAGGTTGTATAGAGATCAAAGAAACGGATGGCACAAAAAAGGTTGGAAAACACTGGATTCTATTAGTGAAGATGCAGAGAATACCAATAAGAAGATCAATGTGGCAAACAGTAACAAGCTATAGTTCCACAGCTCTCCATCACATCGAACACATATCACGACATAGAACCAATACCATGACAGCAAATAAAATGGTTTGTCCACTCAGAAAACATATGATGTGATGCAACAGCATACAAGACATATACCAAGAGAGGAGAGTACGAGGTCAACCAAGAACAATATAGAAAGATAACATAAGAGACACTCTAAAACAGTACACTGTGTCTATGGTTCTAAAACAGTACACTATGTCTATGGTTCTAAAACAGTACACTGTGTCTATGGTTCTAAAACAGTACACTGTGTCTATGGTTCTAAAACAGTACACTGTGTCTATGGTTCTAAAACAGTACACTATGTCTATGGTTCTAAAACAGTACACTGTGTCTATGGTTCTAAAACAGTACACTGTGTCTATGGTTCTAAAACAGTACACTATGTCTATGGTTCTAAAACAGTACACTATGTCTATGGTTCTAAAACAGTACACTGTGTCTATGGTTCTAAAACAGTACACTGTGTCTATGGTTCTAAAACAGTACACTGTGTCTATGGTTCTAAAACAGTACACTGTGTCTATGGTTCTAAAACAGTACACTGTGTCTATGGTCTTGGTGGACCGAAGAGCATAAAGCAGAGCCTTATATCTTCCTTGACACCCAGAGGTGAAACAAGTGAAGAAGAAGTTATCAAGCATTTCAAAAGTCCAGTCTGACTCCTGATCAAATAAAGCAGCTGATTACAACAGCCTAGTTTAGGAACAGCTGAAATACACAATTCAGTCTTACCCATGAAATGCTGAAATAACCATGATATCTCAAGACACATTTTACTCTTACCTCATGAAATGCTGAAATAATCACGATATCTCAAGACACATTTTACTACTACCTCATGAAATGCTGAAATAATCATGATATCTCAAGTCATATTTTAGTCTTACCTCATGAAATAGATCTCCTGAATATGGTGAAATATGCTGATCCTGCAAGGCTAAGCCTTCTTCAACTGTGATAATGAGGAAAAAAGCACATCAATATGAGTATCTATGTTGGGTTTATCTTTATCTTCCTCTATGTGTGAATGAATGTTTGTGAATGTACATGCCCATATCCCAAGAGATATAATATTTACACAACTGCTTTCTATTTGTTGTCATCATCATCTTCTTCTTCAGAATTTTAAGCTCTTGAAGTTCACTGTTCACTGCTACAGACATAACCCGCCTCCATTTATCTCTGTGACCAGCTCTGTCTTTCCAGTTGGTGATGGTAACATCTCCTAAATCAAAGGTTTTCTATTTGTAATTTAAACAAATTATCTTCTTTAATCTTTGAGTCCTCAGGTACGCATCACACACTGTTTGGTAACTACCCTGCAGCACAGTTGGCACGTGACATGTACAGGTTTTTAATTTACTACTGACCAGTATAAAAACTACATTACCACCCCTTGGGCCTCTGATGTTAAACTCCTTGAGACTGACAGTTAGCTGCTCTAACCCACATTGTTCAACTTGAAACTATTTAACGTCCTGGGTCTAACAGGGTCAACAAAGAGACACCATGAGACAAAAGTAGACGAACAAACGTTTCAGATGGAAAGGGTTAATGTAACATCTTTTGGTGAGGGTACAGAACCGTATATTATTACTGAGATAAACAAGGAATGCATGATGCATAGTTTGGTAACAAAAGAGTTAATTCTTGGGCTTCCATGCGTGGGTTTTGGAGCCTCATTTTGAGAGAAAAAAAAAACAGCCCACCTCCCCTTAACAAGCAAGTTGTAATAGATGACTAATTAGGGTTTCACTAAAATCTGAAATTGTGCTGAAAATTGCAGATATCGCAGCTTAACCACAACAAAAGACGAGATGAATGAAGAGTACAAGGTAAGCCAAGTACAAGATTGAAAGATGACATCTGAGAAACTCCACAACAGCACAATGTATCTAAAGTCAAGGCAGCCTGAAGAACAAGACAACGGTAAAACAGGAACATAATCACTTTGAGCCGGGCGTGCAGAGAGTGGCCAGCAGATGCCATGGGGGTGGAAATTCAGCCAAAAATTCAAGATAATGCTTGTTCAGAGGATATGATTATTTATACAGATGGCTCAGTGTCAAGAATCAAAAGAAGTGCTTGGAATTTCTTAACAAAGGTTAATGGTCAACGTTTGGTGCAGGAGAGCCTAGCGTTTGATACCACAAAATCCAGCTTAAGAATGGAGGTGAGGGCGGTCACTGCAGCTTTTTGCTGGTTAGAGAGTACGACACACACACAAACACATCGTGATTGTAACTGACTCAGAAAGCATGCTGAGTAAGGTCAGGACAAGCATGCTTCGTGCAGAGTGGCATACTTTGTTGTGGAGGTCACGGGTGAGGAGTATTGTCTGAATCTTTTCTCCGGGACAGGCTGGTGTGTTAGGAAATGAACAGGTGGAGATACTGGCTGGCTCTGCACAGCTGGGTGGAATACTGATGCATGATAGGGCAGACATGGTTAGGGCCATGTGGGAGAGTTTGTACAAATCAGAGGAACAAATGGATCACTATAGTCTGGTGAGATTGATGCAGCAGGAAGTGACGAGGGGTTCTGGCTGATGCTTGACGCTCAGAGGAAACCAATACCTTTATGGATTTTCAGACCAAGCTGCTGTGATCTCGCATCTAGTATATTTAATTTATCTCACATCTGATTCCGTGAATGGGACAGGAGAGAAATATCATCAGCGAAGCCCAGATCATCAAGTTGTTTTGTAGGGGTCCACTGAATTCCATTTTTTGTGTTAGCAGTTACTGTTGTCATAATCCAGTCTATAGCCAGTAAAAATAAGAGAGACGACAAAAGACACCCCTGTTTTTATTTCAAATGTATCTGTTAGCTTTCCCTCATGAAGAACTCGACATGACAGGCCGAATACTTACAACTGTACTGTACTACCAAAGACTCGAGAGTTTGGTTTAAATTAAATTATACTATAACGCAAAGCATATTTCATAGTGTTCCTATTAAAATTTTTTAACAGTATGACCTCTTGAGGCCCTAAATGGGATAGTTTTAACAGTGAATAATTTTGAATTGGTATTCAGAAAAGTGCAGAGAAAGGCGACAAGCAGTGGACCAGACCGGAATCTATTCATAATAAATTTTAAAATAATGATATAGGGCTCTCCTTTAAATAACAGTTGCTAGCTGGAAAGCCGACGGTTGCTTAGTCGGAGTTCACTTTCTTGGCTGCAGTGCAAATACGGAGTGGTAAAGAGGGAACGAAACAAATGATATAGTTACCTGTCATCCTAGGGTTAGGCTTAGGGCTTGGGTTAGGATTTGGGGTAGGGTTAAGGGTAGGGTTAGGGTTTGGGGTAGGGTTAGGATGACACATCACAGACACGACGGAAGCTTACCGCTCATTACGACAAACAGATCCGCAGGTCTCATATCTACGGTCACTAAGTCATGCGTCGGAAGAACGCGGTCGCTAATGTGAGTCGCAGCGCGTGGTCTACGAGAGTCTTGTGTCGCAAGACCACGGTCGCTACTGTCAGTCGCAGCGTTTTGATTCGTGACTTGTCCGCTCCGTATTTGCACTGCAGCCAAGGGAGTGAACTCCAACTAAGCGACCGTCGGCTTTCCAGCTAGCGACCGTTATTTAAAGGAGAGCCTGATATAGAATTATAGAGAGACTGTAAAGGGCAGAACTGAATTCAGGGACAGACTGCTAGCCCTGTGTGATATATTTCACATATAATGACACAACAGGACGATGATCATGATACAGTTTACTAAGTATTCAAATGTATAGTATAGACTGTAGTTATACTAGTGTCTCGAGCTCAATCAACTCGAATGACGAATGTCAATAAATGGCTGGCAGGGATGTTGTTTTAGTAAATTTACACTGTGAAAGTGCATTTCTCGAATACCCACCCCTTTCCCACGAAGTTAGTGGTGTTACTACTTCATTTCTGGACTGTAGCCACTTCGGTAAATTAGTCTGCATCAAGCCGATACGTAATATAATACTGAAAAAGCCAATCAAGTATTCGGCAGCCTTCGCCATGTTTTGTGCGTCTACAGACCGGACATAACAACAGGGGAGAATTAAAATCTAGCTATCTTGTTTTGTGTTAACGGAACAATACAAGAACATGTTCTCAGCAGGGCTGCCAATGATGGGCTTTTACCCCCAGATCGGGGTTTTTATTTGACTTATTGGTTCAAATTCTGGAATCTGGGTTTTTGAAAAACAATATCCGTATATAAAAGGGAGTGAATGTTCTGTTTCGTAACAATAAAATTTGTGGTTTTTAACAATCTGGGTTTTAATTCTTTGCTTATGTGTAGCTTGGGTTTTTAGCTTAGCTGGGATTTTTAAATCCTATTGGCAGCCCTGGTTCTCAGTGTTGTCATTGAGAGTGACATGTCAGAATCTGTGTCGAGGGTGTTGAGAGTTTCGCACAAAGCACGAACTCAAAAGCTTCGGCAACAATCCCATGTATAGCATTAGGAAAAATTTACGTGAAACGAAACCACAACATTCAGGATCACTTCGTCTTCTGGAACCTGGCGCTTTTCGGGTTGAGCGCTTTCCTTTAAAGCCGTGGTGCGTCTGCTTGAGAGGCAAGGAACCAAAAAACTGCACACATACAAATGAGCAACAGCCCCGTGTGGGATCCGGGACCCCATTGTGGTGAAAACAAGAATAGACCAACTGTCTCCCCAAAAGCATGTCGTAAGAGTCGACTAATTGGGGAGCTTCCTTTGAAGTCGGAGTGCATCTGCCGGAGAGGCAAGGAACCAACAGTCTGTCTTAAAGAGAATGAGATCTGTAAAACTGATGCATACGCAACACTCAGGTTCTGGAGCAGGACTGCAGTTCAGTAGTGGACGAGCAACCAGAACCTTCCGCCAGAGTTTACAGCTGGTGAACGCGAAGAAGAAGAAGAAGAACTGAGCAACATCTTTAAAATTGGTGTGCATGAAAAATTCTAGTTATGGAACAAGACCACGGTCAAGAAGTGAACCATCAACCAGAACTTACCGTTAGAGTTAACAACTAGTGAACGCTAAGAACAAGAAGAAGATATTATCGGACTGCAATTGTCAAAATCAGTACTTGAAAATGTGCACGCCGCAACACTCAGGTTCTTTAACAAGACTAAAGTCCAGAGGTGGGCGAATACCTAGAACTTTCCTTCGGAGTTTACAGCCGGTGAGTGCAAAAAGGAAGTACTTGAATTCAGCGTTGGCTGCTGGAGGTTGGATCTGGAGCAGTAATGGGAAAGTTCGAGTGCTGTAACGTCATTTCTAAAATTGATTCAATCTCAGCCCCCAAAAAAGCACCCCGGGGCTTCAGTGGGTAGAATTTCACCGCAAATGACTCTTTTCTGGAAAATTACAACCCAGCTTCCGAATATCATGGAAAGATATACAACCGAACAAAAAGCTGTTCAGTGAGCTTTAGGATATTGCAAACACAAACGAAATTGCGGCCACGGAGCTTTCATCAGCACATACATAAATCAAACAAAACCACACGAATACATAAAATCACTTAACTGACGTATTGTGAAGCAGCCACGTTGATGTCTTGTCAGTGGAAACCTAGCTTCTAAAACCGTATCTCCACCCTTCGTTATTTTTATTACCATTTAGCCTTTTCGTCTTTCCAGACGTTAATGATATATTATGCTATAAGGGGACATATGACATATAGGTATTCATCGCCAATTTCGGCGGCGAACTCAGACGCACGACCCTATTTGTGACCCAGCTGGTACTGAATGTTAAGCATGGCTGATGTCGAAAACAGAAGGGGAAAAAGAAGAAACAAGAAGAAGAAAAAGAAGAAGAAGAAGAAGAAGAAGGCGTTTCTTCACAGTTGTTTCTTAAACGTGTAGCTCCAAACCTGCATGCAACTCTTTTGCCCTTATTCCTCTCCTAACATTACTAAGGCATCATGTTCCTTTTAATCGTAGTAGAGGTTCACCCAAATGTATTCTACCCATCTATAATTCAACATAGACGATGCCCTTTGGTACTCTACCACTCTCCATTCGCCGAGTGTGTTCACCAGAGCCTTCGAAAACATTGTTAATTGTTTTTCTGTAAGATACTAACAAAAATGTGTCACATGATCATCAGTATCGCGGATGGGGTCAGTGGTTTGGTCTCGCCCCCATCCATACATTTATCTCTTCGAATTCACCTTGCTATTTTCCCATCAATCTCGCCAGTCGTTGCCAGGTTATCAAGTCCATTCATTCTCGTAACACGTCGAAAAACATCGATTCTCTCTCTCTCTCTCTCTCTCTCTCTCTCTCTCTCTCTCTCTCTCTCTCTCTCTCTCTCTCTCTCTTTTATTTCTTCTCTAACCAGTGTTTACGTTTACATTGTCTCCAGGACTGCTTGGTTTGTTTCTAGAAGTTTTCTAAGCCCAAAAGAGCATCCGCATTTTAAAATAATCCTGCATCAGGGATTTCCGGTTGTGCGCAAACAGGAGGAAACTGGAAAGACCGGCCACTGGCATTTCACTTGTACAATCGTTGTGTTGTTTGACTCTATATTTGACTAAGATTGCAGTTTCCAACTGCATTCCCCGGAAGCAAAATGAATCCTAACTTTGACAGTATTGGTAAACAGTTTGTAGAGCAGTATTACCTTGTCTTTGACAATAAAGACATCAGGGGCCAGGTGGCAGTCATGTATCATGTGAGTGGGAGTGTGTGTTCGTTGTCGTGTGTCTGTGTGTAAGTGTTCGTTCTGTGACTTTTTTCGTGGGTCACTGATTTCTCATGTAACAAAACCTTAGTGCAGTTTTCTTCTTAGTAATACAAGTTTACAAAATTAATATAAAATGGAAATAATAGTATTAATAGGTGGAATAGCTGTACTGGACACCCAGTTTAACTTTTAAAACTTCTTACTCAGCTGCTAATAATATAATAATATAATAATATTAATATTGTAAGTTAAGTAAGTGCGAAGATTCCATTATATTTATATACACTAAATTGTTGACCATCTTCAATCTTGCGCAGGTAAATTTTAAACTTGGACTGTTTTTTATTTTTTTTAGACATGAATGGCTCACACCAGAGTTATATGTTTTGTAATATGTGCTCCCTGTGTGGGTTTTTTAGGCCCATTTGTGGGTAGTAAAATGAGTAGCCAAAACTGTAAACAGTGATCCTAGAGAACACACTACAGTCTGTTGTTTGCTTGCCGCGACCATAAGAGACGCAACCTATTGTTTATTTACATTGACATAGTAATGCTCTTTAATATTGCTTCAGGTTAGGGTAGGAGTTTAGACTGTTGTTAGTCGACAGATTATCCCAACTGCACATCAATCAGACCATTCTAGTCCAAAAGGACTTGAATCAATCTCATCCGCTCCTCAGTCAATCTTGCAGTAAATCTGATATCAGTTCTTTGTTGGGTTCTTATTCTTCTTCAGCTTCCGGCATATTGCTTTTTCTGGTCACACCCCTTTTAACATGGTTTCTTCCATTGTATTGGTCATGGTTGCAGATTAACAGTCATCACTTGGTTCTCATGCACCTTCTTACAGAGCATTCACTATATCATCCTGGTCCATGGCTCATCACATGTTAATGTTATGATAAATGTAAAAAAAAAAAAAATTTTAAAGCTGATGATTCCCATTTTCCTTTGACTTCATAAATCTATTTGTTTAGAAAAACAAAACAGTATTGTGACATTGCTCATAACCCCTAAGCCACAAATGCAGACATTCTCATATTATTTTTCACTGAAACATGTGAAAGGACTCCTTTTGTGTCTTCATACACATTAGTCATATATGGCTAGACCTATATTTTTTAAACCAATTGGAACTCAGTAATGTGGTTAACTTGACCATCACACCAGCTGCCTTCATTTCCAAGACCTGGTACACAGTTAAGGCTGGTTTGACCAGGGAACCAAGGCCATTAAAAAAAAAAACCCAGCTTCATTAAGAACAAAAACATATACACTTACTTAACTTAGTCGCTTCTTTTCTACCTTGGGTGTAGAGGTTTGCGGGAGAGATTGTCAGACACCTCTTTCAGCAGTTTTCTTTCTGGCTTTGTTTTATTTTAGTCCTCTGTCAGTTAGGGACTGTCATATGTTATTATCCCCCCCCCCCCCCCCCCCTCTGCACCCTAAAGGTCTGGTGCCCTGGTTCTTAGCCTGCCATGGTGGCCAATTTTCTCCCATTCTGCATGCATGCCCAAACCATCGTAACTGTGACTGATCCACTCAGGTTTGTAAGAACTGGGTATCAATACCTTGACGTATAAATGTGTAGATTATTAAAAGTTAGTTGCGTAACCTTTTCAAGATGTTGCAGAAGCAACCCCATTTTTTTGGCTGTTGTGGTTTTTTTTTAAGGCAAATTTTACGTTGATTTGTTTGCCCTTGTTTTCTAAATGGTCAGCTCTCAAAACCACTGTCGAAACCAGCGCAAGACAAATTATCAGCAGCTGGGCTCGAGCCCGGCAGTACAAAGCGCATTCGCAATGCCAAAGCTATAGACGCTGAGTATTATAGAGTAAATGTTTTTCATTCTGTCCTCAGCCTACAGATTCATTACTAACATTTGAGGGACAGCAGTTCCAAGGAGTTGAGGCAATAGCAGAGAAAATGAAAGTAAAGTCTTTTTTTTTGTATATTTGAGTTACATGTTTATGACATTGTTGACCTCTTTCTTGTACATGTATTAAAATGTTGTTGCTTACAGTAAAACCTCGTTAACGTGACTACAAATTTGTCATAGTAAAGATGTGCATATATTATTACATTTATGTGTTAGTCCCCTGCTAGCGCACAATTTATTTAACATTAACTGTTGGCTTTTCTTTCGTATTAATGGGGTTTCACTGTATTTATCACATTGCTGTCTCTTTTTTTTTAATAGATGCCCAAATGTAAAAACTAATACATATTTGGGGTGTCCTCTAAATAACTGTCTTAAATTATTGAGACTAAGAAAATAGAACAGGGCCTCAGTAATTTGTAAATTGCGGACTCCGTTCAGGCGAGTACACCGTGGCCAAAGTATGATTATATTTTAGGCAAAAAAATATCACAAAATTATCACCATGGCAGGCAGAGCTCCAGCTGCAACACTGGGTCGTAGGTTTCTTCTCGCCTGATTCGTAGGTTTAACTTCTCACCTGGGTCCTAGTTTTTTTTTTAACTTCTTCCCTGGGTCCTAGGTTTAGGGCAGCAAGTGTTACAATTACGACGCTGTGACCGGAAGCTGTCACAACAGTCCAGTCATGACACTGATGGTTAAAGGGCCATGCATGCAAATGAAATAGGTACAATGTTATGAAGACGGAACTAGTCGGGCGATTTGCCGCCCGCCCCTGGTGTATATGCCCGAAAGAGATCCTAGTTTTACACACCATTCAGGCCCTGTTAGGATATTTTATTTAGCCTCGATAAGTTAGGACCGTATTTGGAGGCGAGCCCAATATTTGTCATGATGTGAGCAAAATGGTTTAGTTACGTAAAGTACTAAAAGTGTGTTTATTGAATTTAGGTTTAATTTTATATACAGTAGAACCTCGCTTAATGAGCACCTCTCATAACGAGTAATCCGCATAACGAGCAAAACTAATTGTAAAAGAATGACTCGCTGAACGAGCGACGTTTCGCATAACGAGTGGCGAGGAGAAGGGAAATCCTGGATTTTGCGCATGTTACATCAGTGTTTAGCACTCGTTCCAGTAGCATTGTCGCTTGTGATTACACATTTTCTCAAACTTAGTGTTATGTTGTGAAATATGTACATGAATCCTCCAGGCCTACAAGATGACCTCCCTGATGAATTTAAGTTAACCAAGATCCAGTTTCTCCTAACACCACTCCGTTACTCCAACCAATGGACCAGCAAGTTATTTCTAACTTGAAGAAGCTCTACACTAAAGCACTCTTCGAGCATTGTTTTCAGGTGACTGAAGAGACCAACCTCACTCTCAAAGAGTTTTGGAAAAATCACTTACACATCGTTGCCTGCCTCAAGATGACCGACAAGGCGGGGGAAAGGGTTACCAAGAGAACCCTAACTTTTTCTTGGAGGAAGCTTTGACCGGAGAGTGTTGTCGATTTGTGACTTTGAGGGTTTGAGACGGTACCTGTTAAACCTTTAGTCAACGAGAGTGTGTCTTTGGCCACTATCATGGAATTGTAGGTGGATAACAGTGATATCGAAGAGCTTGTGGAAGAGCACAGCCAAGAGCTGACCATCGAAGAGCTTATGGAATTGCATTGTGTTTCACAGCAAGACGTTTAAGAGGAGAGTTTGTCAGAGGAGGAGGAGATACCTGCAGTGTAGCGACTCCACTAGCCATGATGTGCTAAATCCTCAGGTTCAAGACTTCTGTGTCCTCCACTGTCTTAAAAAGTGGTAATTGTAGGCACTGTTGTTTGTTTGTATTCATCAGCTGTAAACTCTGGCAGAAAGTCCTGGGTGATCATCCATTTCTGGACATAAATTGTGTTCCAGGACTTGAGTTTTGCTTGTGCATTCATTTTGCAGACCTGCAGAGTTTCCTTATGTCAGGCAGATGCACTCTGACTTTGAAGGAATTGTGGATCCGATTTCTAGGATAAGATTAGCCAGTCTGAACCTTTCTTTGCCTTGTAGTAGGCTTGTCAAACAAATCTGAATCTTTATCCTATAGTACAAGGCTTGGGTCCATAGCCTTGCTCGTTATACAATGGGAACTCTCTAGACATTGTCACCTATGCATTGGGGTCAGGTCGATGGGTGCGAGAGGTTATCGAGACACTGCATCTCTGGGGACCACCAACTTCACAAGATTCCCTGCCAGCTGTTGTTTTTTTTCTTTTAAAGCCCACTTAAGTCAGTATCCAGGGCGCACAGTGTGGACTTATGACAGCTGTCTAATTCTAGAGTCCTTAAACCCAGCACAGACCAAGCTGGCACCTGAGGTGTCTTATGTGTTATACCTTATACACCACAATCAGACTGAAGTTTACTCCTCTCTTGTGATTGAAATCACCGTTGTCCATTGCTGGCATTGAAGACAATTACTTGAAAAGAGTAGATTTTCTCATGAAAGATAAGTATTTTTCTGTCTTTGTTGCCAGACAATTCCTCTAGACAACATGTTCAGACAGATAACCACAGTAGACTGCCAGCCAACTACTGATGGAGGCGTGCTAATTAATGTAATTGGACAGCTGAAGGTTGGTACATTTATTCAGTGTATCTTGAATGGTGAGCAATTCTGTATTGTGCAAACAAAAGGATCACATGATTAATCTGAAGACTTTAAGATGAAATGTACACTGTAACAGTAGACAGTGAGATTTGAGTCAAAGTAATAAATGTTGTAATTAATTTTATTTTCTTCAATGTTCACCTGTAAAAGGGCAGTTAGCTAGGTTGCAGAATGCACCCTTTTTGGCCTAGTGTATCAGATATAAAACAATTCCTAATTATTTGCCTTTTACATCATATTTGTACGGGGGCATTGCCCCCCCCCCCCCCCCCCAAGAAATTATGGCAGTGGGAACCCAACGAGACAGCAAAATATGCCAGGCAAATTGAGCAGTTTATTTGTTTGGTACCTTCATTGTTAAACTTGCTAAAAATGCTGAATACTCTAATTTTATTTTATATATCACAATGTGACTTTTGTAATGCTTGAAAAGAACTTAACCAATATAACCTTTACTGGTTCTGCAACCTTGAATATACAAACATTTTGTATATAACAATGTGACCTTTGTAATGTTTGAAAAGAACTTAACCAATATAACCTTTACTGGTTCTGCAACCTTGAATATACAAACATTTTGTATATAATAATGTGACCTTTGTAATGTTTGAAAAGAACTTAACCAATAACCTTTACTGGTTCTGCAACCTTGAAAATAGAAATATTTAGCACAAAACAGAAGAAAATGTTCAAGGTTGATCATTCTAGAACAGTAGTTAATTTTGTGTGGGAATTTTAACATTTATTTAATATTTTGTTGTTTTTGTTTTGCAGAACAACTCTGAAAATGATAAACCCTTGGGTTTCTCTCAAACCTTCGTCCTCAAGCCAGCAAACAACTCGTTCTTTATCTTTCACGATATCTTTAGATTGGTTATACACAATATGTAAGCGTTCTCGTTTCAGAGGCATCTCTTAGGATTTCAAATATAACAGTGGAAAAGAAATCATCCTCCTGTTGATATAAAATAGATTAGATAGAAGATGATAAAAGTGTTAGGACATGCAGATATTTGGTGTGTTCAGACTTTTCTGGAATTCCTGCTGATAATTTGTATTTCTTAAGAGACAGAGAAAGAATTGGATATTTCGCTCCCAGGAATGTGTTTTAATGGTTATTGCAAGGTTGTGCTAACGTTTGTCTGTGTATAGCTTCTGCGGAATTCTTCACTGCAGCACTTTGAAATTGCTTTAGTGATCAACACTTTCTCAAAAAATACCAGCTACAATAAAGGCCCCTTGCTCAAGAGGGTCTGAACTGCAACCCTGAGCATTGGTTTAAATAAAGTGTTAACTTTTCCTGACATTTATTTCCATTTTTTTTTAAAGATTTGTTTTGCTTGTTGGAGAAATGTATTACTGTTAAATAGCAAGTGTATTGTTGTATCTTGATATATAAAGTCTAGTTTACAATGAGCACTCACAGTAGGGGGAGATAGAAGTAAGGTGCCTGAAGGCTGACACCATGATTTATGAAGCTGTCACCACTGCTAAGAATAACCAGGGACAGATATAACCCAATGATGTCTTGAAAGAAATGCACTCACAAAGATATCTGATTGATTACTTGTATCAAAAGTAGTCAGTCCACGTTATTAGTTCATGTCGTGAGAATGGGAAAACTGAAAGTTGTGGCAACGGAAGAGTTGCAGGTGAAAAGATGCTGATGGAGACCTAGGGAGTCGTATTATTGGAGAGGACCTACATTAGAAGTGACTGGAAGAACACGTGGCAGAAGGCTGTGAACTGATATGTTAACATCACAGAGCGTGCAGGAAAGCAGTGCTGTTCAACTGGGAGTCGAATTACGGAAGAGGACATACATTAGAAATGACTGGAAGTACACGTGGCAGAAGGCTGTAAACTGATATGTTAACATCACAGAGCGTGCAGTAAAGCAGGGCTGTTCAATAGGCCAGCCTGCAAGCTTAGATAGTGGCACACGGAGCATTGCCAGTTGTATTAATAATGGTTCTGTACTCTGTCGTCTGGTCTGTGACAGTCTCCTTTTTCAGGATTGTGGTCCCTGAGTAGACTTAGTTGAAAAGCCCTGCACTGTAAGAAATCTCACTGCGATAACACATGTTAGTTAGCTGCATATCTTTTACAGGACATTGCAGAACCAAACCCACAATTTTTTGGCTGTTGTAGTTTTCCAAAGCAAATTTTATGTTCACTAGTTTGCCATTGCTTCTAAGCGGTTATCTCTCGGTACCACTGTCGAAACCAAAGCAAAATACATCGTCTGGGATACAGTGTGGCATTATGAAGCATATTCACAACACCTAAGCCACAGATACCGACACGTATTAACCTGAAAATAAAAAAACAGCTAATAGCATATTGATAAATGACAGCACAAATGAAACCCCGGGGGCATGATAGTATAAACAGGGCAGAAATGCCCACTCTAGAACTTTCAAGCTCAGGAAGAACGGGACACTGTGGACTTGGGATGCACCTACATCGAATGGGTCATGATAACTCTGCAGCATGTGGTTAGGGTGCACACAAACTCTCAAACAGGTTTTACATACTTAACCAGCCAGAGAGGTCATCTCGTACTCAGGAGCATCACTACAAGAAACACTATGGGGCGCCGGTTAAGACCTCAGGTGTAGCGTCTTCTTTATGACATGTATTGGAATAGATGGATAGCAGATGTTGTTGACTGAGAAAGAATAAGCTCATTCATACCAGTTTTTACTTACTATTGTCAGGCTTGGTCACAGGTAGGTATTCAAGAGAGGAAGGTTACACGTGTGAGTTAAGATGCATGAGACGATCTGTCATTTTAACCCAGTGGTTCTCAACCTTTCCTGACTCTTTAATACAGTTCCTCATATTGTGGTGATCCCCAACAATAATATTATTTTCATTGCTATTTCATAACTTCCACAGTGAATATGTGTTTTCAGACTGTCTTAGGCCACCCCTGTAAAATAGTTGTTTGACCCCAAAGGGATCAATAACTGCTGATTTAATCAGAAGACATGTAAGTTACGACATTAACCCTGGCGCCCTGAGAAACAGCAAAACCAACTTTTCTGGTTAGGTCCAGCTCCCTGAGAAAACCACTTAATCAGCTTTTCAAGAGTGGCGTGTTTACAAGACCAGTAGTTAATACAGCAAGCTTTAGAGCAGCCACATCTTTAAAAAAAAACACCCTCAGAACAAGTTAGAGCAGAGCTGTTCAACTAAATTTGCTCAAGTGCTGCAGTTTTTAAAATGGGGATTGTCACGGGCCAGAGGCCCGAACCCCAGCCAAAAGATCATTAATATAAAACAACTGGTAGTGATCCACGTGCCACTTGCTGGGCCTCCGGGGGCCAGATTTGGCCCGCGGGCCACCTGTTGAATAGTCCTGCTATAGACGCTGTTCCCGCACAACACCCTGGTCCCCAAGGACTGACGGTTGCCTTTCTCAGTTAATGCTATTGGCTGTGTTTCTGCCTGTGCAAACATTTATGCTCTCAGGATAAAAATATGTTAGCTTAAAAAAATAGTATTGAGGGATATTGTCGTCCTGTGAACCAAGTAGATTTTTATAAAGTTTGACATGAAAAGTTTCTGCAAGCTTCAGTGATGGAGATCCCAGGATCACTACATGAGTAACCTGATAGATACTGTTTGCTTGTTCTCCTGAAACCCCTACTAATTTTAGCTGCAAGCCGCCACTGTTGGCACCGAATCTGAAACTGCACTGACATTAACACAACTACAAACTGTAACAATTGTTGAGCTAGCTATGATCGTCGATGTTCTATGCTTGTTGTTTTGTTTATCAAACTTGTTTGCTGCCAGACTGATAGAAGCAGGCACCTAACTGTGATTTTAGTGTGCCTGATTATCATTGAACTGATACAATATTTGTTGCATGCATTTTTTTTGGGTGTGTGGTTTCCAATACTTTTTTTTAAATGTCATTCAACGTGCTGATAATAAACATACATTATCGCTGTGCTTGAAGTAAAAAGTTAGTAATTTTGTTTTCTTTAGATTTAAATACCTTCGCATGAAATCTGTTACCCATTTGATGAGGTTGGAGCAGTCAGTGATGTATTAGACCAGTGTTTCCCAAAAATGTCTTAGTCGCAGCGCCTTTTTTCCCATTACAGTTTTTCCACGGCGCCCTGACCTAAGTAAAAGTATGACTATTCGTATGTGTGATCAGCAACTGATCCATATTTTCATTATAGTGGTGTCATTTGTCATGTCTTTTTTAACATTCACGGGCTGTAAACTCCAGCAGAAAGTTCTTCCACTCCTGGACTTATCTTGTTCCATTCCCATGTGGGTTCCGGGGCCCCATTTTGGTGGAAAAAGAATAGACTCGCCCACCCCCCCCCCCCCCCCCCCCCACACACACACACACGTTATAAAAACGAACTAATTAGGTTTTACCTTAAAGGTCAGTGTTCATCTACCTGAGAGACTAGGAACCAGCAGTATGTGTACAAAAAAGCCAGATTTGTAAAACAAATGTGCCCACAAAATTAGTTCTGGAACAAGACCAAAATACAGGGGTGGGTGAACAAACACAACTTTCCTTCTGAGTTTACAGCCGGTGAAAAAAGACGAGCAGGTAGACTTGTTTCAGAACTTTAGTTTTGCATGCACATCTGTGATCTGGCTTCTTTGTATGCAGAATGTTCGTTCCTCTGATCTCAGACAGATGCCCTGCGACTTTGAAGGACACTTCCCTAACTAGTCGCCTTGTACATCATGCTTGAAACCTATGCGTGGAACTTTTTTTAAAAGTAAGACTGCCATGTCTTTTTGTTTGTGGCTCAGGCGTTGTGAACCTACTTTGAAATGCCAGGGTGTGATTTCGATCCCACCTGTGGGCGATTTGGCAGTAGAACATCCTGCATTGGTTTTGATATTGATAGTACAGAGAGCCGACCGCTCAGTAGCAATAGCAAACTACTGAACATAAAATTTGCCTAGAAAAACTGCAGTGGCCAAAAAATGCCTAGTGTTGGTTCTGCAACGTCCTATAAAGGATACACAACTAACATGTCTGTTATTTTGCCCAAAATAATTAACTCTTGTCTATTTTATCAGGTGTTTTTTAACTCCCAGCTTCTTTAGAACCTCTGTATAGGATTGTATTTGCTTCACTGAAATACAATATATCAAAATCTTCTGGTCCTTAGTTGTAATTTTTGTTTTATCAACACTAACATAAATCTTAAATTACGGATGCACGTTTATTATTTTCAAAATATGAAAGTATGACCTGTTGGGAATTCTGATAAAAATACACAAAGAAATAGAAGGATCAGGAATGAATGAACTTTATATCCAAATGGTTACTAATTGAGGTTTGATGTTTTCAACAACGGATCAACATCATGGCACACGGGTAGTAACCCACAAGTGCTCTGTCCTACTTCTAACTCAAGTCTGAGTCCAGAGAAGCTTAGCATAGTGCACAGGCTCTGTAGCACCGCGAGGATCCTGAAATACTTTGGGTCAATTTTAAACTCTAAATGTTGCCAGGGCTACTCTTTTCGATTTCCAACTGCCAAAGGATTTTTTACGTGCGTAACAATGCACTAGGGCGTCTGATTTCACTACCCAGGGACCAGGGGGAATTACTAGAATTCCAGGTCCACATGACAAAAATTCCAGCACTTACGGGGGATAAAACTCGGAACCTCTAGTACTCGAGGCAGACACCATGCCTCGAGACCATGCAGCCCCCTAAAGGGTTACAAATTGAGCACACAGGCTCTTTTACCTTGCATTCGGCACTTTCAAGCACTCATTTTTCATACACCAGTTGTAAGGAGAAGGAATTTGGAGATCACTAGAAGTTGATTAGCGCAGATATTACTAATGAAGACTGACAAACTGTTCTTGCTGTATTTAGTATTTTAAGCATA